ACAACAGGTATGCAATCAGAGGTGGATTTTCTGTTATCTTTGCACTCCCAGGGTTGTAAGGCCAGGCACGATGACATCCTACAACTAAATTATGAAGCTGGAGCTTGTATGGTTCTACTCTTGCCTCCATTAGAGCACAGTAATATAGAAGTGGGAAAAAAGGTAGATAAACATGAAATTTAAGTATTTTAAACAACTCACTTCCCAGTCAAGATAAGACAAGCTCAAAGGCTGGGGAAGGAACTAGACCTAATCTGTACAACCCGAGTTACTTGAACAGTATCTTATAAATTTCTTTTGCTATCACTGTTCCCTTCCCCTCCCATACCTGTACGTCCTAGCTCCCTGCTCCTGATGGGGAGCTAGTTCACCCTTCCCTATCAGTGGCCTGAATTCTGCCCAAAAACCCTAGTTAAAATCCTCTTCTCCAAAGCCTTCTCTGCTCAATTCCTCTCCTACACCCACAAATCCGAGTTCCTGCCTTGAGTTTCAGCCAGTATTTCTTCCTAGTTTACCTTCTTCCTCCCCTCTGATCTCTAGATGCCACACACTTGTCCCTGGCAGATCTCCCAGCACCACTGGAACTGTAATCACAACAGGCTGAATCCTCAGTGACCAAGAAAATGACTCATTGTGAATTCTGCTGTTGCATGGAGTCACCCTGCTCTTCAAAGTGATGGACATAAGCTGCATTGCTCAACGCTTTGCTAACAACCAGCATGGTTCTGACAGAACAGCACGAGTAATACCACGACCGCTGGCCTATTCTAATCTCAGCACACCTATTCTAATTTTGCACAATGTTTAGAAAAATATGCTCACCAGTGTCAGAGACATTAACAGGAAGAAAATTAGTAATTCCATAGGCACTGTAGAGACTCGACTTTGTCAGGAAAATTGCAGCACAATGAACTCACAGGATAAGAGAAAACATTTAACAATTCTGTGAGACATTGTTGACCCAAGCATTGAAATTGATGACTTCTGTACATAAGTCTTGTATGACTGCATGCTCTTAATAATACATAATCTTCTCCTTTCCCTGACACATCTATAAAGCTGCACATATTAAATTTGGATATGCAGAAAAATATATAGTAGAAATAACATCATGCTAAATAATGCTACAGGAACAAGAAAATATTGATTTATTTCATACTACATTTACATCAAAATCAGACTAGCAACATACCAGAGAGGCACAAAAATAAAAGTACTTGTTCCAGATTGGGTGTCATTTAAGAAGGAAAAAGTATTTCTGGCCTGTAAGCTCAAGTCACACATCAGTGATATAATTCATAACTTAAAATCTTTATGGGGTGCAGAGGGAAAAGATCAGACTCTGAAATGGTGTTTACCATCCCCATCACTCAACACTTCTCCCACCGCAGCTGTACTGTTCAACACCGAATTCCTGCTTTTTCCTTGCAGCTTACAGCTTGCTGCCTTCACCAACACGGGTCTCGGTGCTCTGACACCAACCTACGGCGCCGAAACAAGGACACGTTTGCTTAACCTTCAGCAGAGAACACAAAAATGACAGCGAACTTCGAGAGATAATGTGCGAATCGCCGACCTTCTCCGTTAGAAGCAGAGCTGCTGACGCAATAACTGTGAAACTTCAACTGGCGCAAAAGAAACCGTTATCCCGACAGGACTCGGCTACAGAGCCCGAGCCAAAGGCCGAGCAGCGGCTGCCCGTGGAGGTCACGCACGAGGCTGCCTTGCTCTGCAGGTCAAGGAACCTGCCAAGGCAAAGAGAGCGGCCCGGACATGCGGCGCCGCCAGCGGCGGGCTCGGTCGGTGACCCCCGCACGGCCTGGGGTGATACCACGCCGGGACCCCCGCCCGAGGCCGCAAGGCCGGGCTGAGCCGCCTCCGGCCCCTCTGCGAGCCAGCCCAGAGCATCTACAGCCCCGGCGGCCCGCGGCCCCTCCGAAGGCTCGGCGGCAGCTCACCTCGATGATCTTGATGAAGCGCGGGAATACGGGGTTGCGCGTCACGGCGATGAGCGGGACGTTGGGGAAATGCTCCGGGACGAGCAGCGGCGTCAACGCCGTTATGACCGGCCCGGCCCCGCCGCTGTCCGCCCCGCCACCGCCACCACCACCGCCGCCGTCCTCGCCGCCGCCTTCCAGTGCGTCTCCCCCCGACAGACCGCCAGGGCTGCGCTGGTGCCAGCGCGGGCCGGCGCTGAAGGCAGCGTGGGGCGGCGGCGCGGAGCCCAGCGGGGCCGGGACGGCGGCGGCGGGGGCCCAGAGGCGGCGCCGCGTGGGCCCCAGGGCGGGCCCGGTGACCGCAGGCCGCCAGCGCCCGCACAGCCGCCACCAGCGCGCGGCCGCCATGCTGCCGGCGCGCGCGCCTCACTTCCGCTCTCCCGGCAGCGCCCGCCCCGCCCGCGCGGGCTCGCGTGGCGGCGCGCACGTCTGAGCCCGCCCGTGAGCGCGTGTTCGAGCCCCGGTCCGGCGCCCGGCCGGGCGGGTACCCGAGCGAGGGACGCAGCCGGCCTGACCGTGGCTTTGGCCACTGCCAAGCCTTCCCTTTCCTCCTCGGTTCCCTGCAGTCGGCTGCCCAGACAGCTGCCGAATATCTCCAAAAATAGCGACTCCGTAATTTCTCTAATGACCCTGTGCCACTGCTCCGGCAGCGTCTGTGTAAAAAAGTCTTTCCTGATATTCCGAGGGAGCCTCCCGTCTTTCGTTTTGTGCCTATTGCCTCTTGTCCTGTCATCAGGCACTACTGAGAAGAGCCTGGCTCTGTCTTCACACCTCCCCTAGGTAGGTATTGCTGTACATTTATGAAACCCCCGAGCTTTCCCTTCAGCAGGCTGCAGTGCCAGGTGCCCCAGCCTTTCCTGAGGGGAGATGCCCAGTCCCTCCATCATGTCTGCCGTTCTCCGGACTCTTCCTGGTGTGTCCATGGGCACTCATAGTGGGGAGCCCACAGCTGGACACAGCTCGCCAGCCGTGGCCTCCGCAGTGCTCAGGGAAGGCTCCTGTCCCTGAACCTCACCAGGCCAGGACAGGCAGGGGCACAGCAGTGACTCGGGTTCAACTCGGGCACCGGCAGAGCCCTTAGGTCTTTTTCTGCAGAGCTGCTCTTCAGCAGTTTGGCCCTCGTGTGTCCTGGTGCCTGAGGTTATTCCTCCTCAGCTGTGGGACATTGCATTTTTTTTCACTGAACTTCGTGATATTCCTGTCAACCCATATTTCCATCCTGTTGAAAGATTAAATTAAATTTAAAGATTCAAAGGAGCCTTGAGGCTTGTCTCAGTGGTATTTGGTGAAAAGACAATAGTCAATGGGCACACATTGAAAGACAAGAAATTCTATTTAAACAAATAAAAGCATTTTTACAATGGGGGTGATTGAGTGCTGGAACAATGTGTGGAACGTGCATCCTTGGGGATGTTCAAAGTCCAATCAGACAAAGTTCTGAGCAGCCTGCCCAAGTTGCTTCTGCTCTTGAGCAGAGGGGTTTGCACTGGGCATCTTCAGAGACCCCTCAGCCAAGCTGCTGCTACCACACAGGAGTCTGCATGGCTGGGGGGCAGGAGGGGTGGGCTAGATTGCAGATGTACCCCAAGAGGACTATTAGGCCTTAATGGCCCTGAGCAACCTGCCTTGGGACCCACACCTCAGACCTGCTCATAACTTGCTGTTGTCTTATGGTCTGACTTCTGAGTCTGTGCTGTTGCCTTTCTTGGGTGCTGTGGGACTGAGGATGCCCTTTCCCCAGCATCCCTGTTATTCAGCTTGATTCCTGTCCCTTAGGGAACAGAAAACAAGAACAAGGGATATCAAGAGGAGAACAAACAGCTTTCACTTTCTGCAGATGCTATGCCATTAATGCAACATTTTAGCAAGTAATGTAAAACCATTATTGTTTAAGCCTCTGAGATGGAAGTATGTGTCTATGTGCTGTTTGGTGCAGATGAAGCAAACCTCATGTAACTTTGTCAGTTTATGGACATATGCCAAAGATGGCATCAAAGAAGAAGCTTTAGGGAAAGGCCTTGTCAAAATCTGAGATTGGTATTTGACCCATGACGTAGGCACATGGAGATAAGAAAGTATAATATATCATGCGAAAAGTCATGTCTCTGACTTTGGAAGGTCACAGTACTGAGGAAAAAAAATAGGAAAAAAAAAGGAAAAGTATTGTGGAAAAAATTTCCTTTATTTTTCAAATATGGAAACTATCTGTATTAAGACTGAAAATAACAGCATGAAGAAAAAGCCCTCAGGAATTAACAGAGTCAAATTGCACGAATGCCATGAACACACTGTACAGTACTGATTTCCAGTTCTTCTTTGGGCAGAGCAGAAATACATACAATTTCAGGTCAGTTTTTGTGGGCAGCTCTTACTCCTGGAGCAATGTGCAACATACATAAAGTGACATGTGGCCTAACTGAAAATCCATATTCTTCCTGGATTTTCTCTCTTCAAATTAGTATTGAAGAGGTATGTCCTTATCCAAGAGCTACTTGTGAATTTTAGCATTGAGATAGCTCTCTGTTTCATCCCATCTGTAACCATTAGGAAGAGATCTGTTTGCAAATAGGAGAAACTTAGAAAGTTTTGCAAGTAGAAGCAGCAGGACTGTAGTAAAGAGTGTATAAGCTCACAAATATCTGGTAATTTTAAAAGACAGTGGATAAAATTATAAAAAACCTTTCAATTATCCAGTTTTGAAGGCTGAGTTAGTACAAGGTCAGCACTGGATTTGGAAGAAGTACAAATACTTTAGTATTCTTGACTGAGCTCTGAAAGCTCGGCCTTTGCCAAGACTGATGCAGTGCAAATGGGGGTCTTTGGGATGTGTACAGACAAGGACACAGTGGAGAGGTTTTTCTATACATTGAGAAGTTCTCATTTCATCACCAGAAGGTACAAGTCTAAATTGGCATGCATTGAGCTCCTTTCTGGGAAATCTGGCTTTGAAAGACTCGTTTTTTCTGGAATGAAGTAGAACAGCCTCAGGGTTTGTTTTTTTTTAAGTACAGGGTTAAATGAGTAAATCCAGGTGTGCACCAAAATGAAATATGCAGCTTTACACATAGTGAGACTATAATATTGGCTTTCCTTCTTGGATTAGTAACAAAAAATTGGATTCTATGTACACATATGCTTGCACACACAGACCTCTTTCATATATATTTATAAATATATATGTAAGTATATGCAAATTTCTGACAATATTTTGATGTTCAGGTACTGTAAACCGATAATTCCAATCATAATCTGGTTACAGCATGGGTAAACACTAGAGCTAAGAGCTATAAACCGAATTCTGAAATTCCCAAAGGAATACTGGTTTGCATTGTTGGAAAATGAGGCATCTACTTGTTTTTGCTCTGTTAATCTTGTGTGGAAAGCAGGAAATCACAAATGACAAGGCTTGGTGCATACTGCTTTGTGGGAACATCTGTGAACATGTGGATGCAATGTGGTATGGAGAGTCCCTTTTGTGATATGTGTACATGTCTGCTAACAGGAACTGAAAACAGGTTAGACTCCTGCTGAGTTTTATTAAAGTATCATTAGAATTGTTTCAGATAGCTTTTAGAAATGATTGGGTTGGAAAAACCCTTTGTGATATCTCTAAGCCAGAAAGCACGTGCATATATTATAAAGCCAGAAGGGACCCTTATGACCATCTAGTCTGTGTAACCCAAGCCATAGGACTTCCCAGAATTCATTCCCATTTGAGCTAGAATCCAATCCAACAATCTTCTGATTCATCCTTCAGTTTGCCCTTTTTATACAGGAAGTCACTTCAAGATTAGAATTCAATGTTTTCTTGAGAAGTTGGACAAGTAGTCTGAAAAAGAAAAAGAAAACCAAGAAGCAGTTCAATATGGACAACTTGAAATTACTATACTTTAGTAGTAATAATCAACTGCACAAACACAAGCTGGGAAATTGCTTGATAGGCAGCAGTCCTGTTTAATATGATGTGGGATTTATCATACATTACCACTGGACTAGGGTCAATGCTATCATGCTATTGTTAAAAAATAAAGCACTTCATTGGGTTTTATAAGCAGGTCTGTTCTTTATGAAGGTTTAGACTCGTCAGCTGAGCAGTGTTATTGATAAGCTAGTGCTATCTTAGCTCACTATAGATACAAGCTGATGCAGTGTATCTGAAAACTCTTTGATTAAGATCCAGTCCTCAGATAGAGCCATCTCATCAAAGTAAGAGTCTAACCTTGCTAAGAGTTAGGATAAGATGAACAGACTTGAGATTGCTGTATGTATGCATCAGGGGCAGTTATCCTGATCAGCTGATGCATAGCCTGCTAACAACCATAGTAACATGAGTCCAAGGTCTAAATCTTAATGTACAGGAAATATTCTTTCCTCAGTGCTCAGTAATAATAAATCTTTAGTTGGATTGTTGTGTCAAATTTTAGTCATTCCACTTCAAGAAAGATGTAGAACAGCAAGGAGAATGTCCAGAGGAGAGGAACATGAATGATTATTACCTGTGATACATACAGGATCTGTTTAGTCTAGAAAGGAGAAGAGCAGACATTATAAAAGTATTCAAACAAGATTTTAAAAAGTGCTACAAAGAGAAGGATAATCATTTGTTATCCAGCTCAGTTGCCTCCTGCCACAGTAGATCTCTTGTCAAAATAAGCAACCTGCCTTCCACAGTCAGCAAAAAACTTGCTGCTTTACAGTGTGGAGCTAGCCATTGCTAAACAGAGTTACAACACACTTCTAGTTACCCTGTTCTGCTACCAGTCTTACATGAAAGAGATGCATTTGTGCATTTATCTCCAAATAATTGCCCAGTCAATAAAAATAGAATACTCTGCCTGCAGGATGTGGAATGTAGCAGCACCAGTATATAACCCTGCAGTTTCTAAACAACTAAAAAGAGCCTCATGATCTGGCATTGAACATCTCAAGAAATGTGTTTGAGGAAGCTTTGTTAGGGCTGGTGATGGGGCAGGTGTGCAGTTGTGATTGGCAAACTTGACTCGGGCAATGCCTCTGAGGTCTTCCTTCCACAATGTGCACCTCTGAGTGTATGGTTATGGCTAGGTATGTAAAACATCAATGTGTAAAGCCAGGGTAGAGGGGTGTAAGTGATAGTGGGTTGGGAATAATGAGCAGATCTCAAGTGAAACCGGCCAGTTTAAATAGTACCTCGATGGGTCAGGAGGCTGCTCACTGCGATTCCTGCTCTTAGCCATTGTTAAAAGCAGGACAGCTATAATGCAGCAGCCCCAACACTGTGGATCCTTAACATCTTCCTGGTTAAGTTATAGACATTCATTTTTCTGGATGTTCATGGACCTGGATGTTATGGAACAAGTCCTAGTGGTCCTCTTCACTGGTGTGAGAGATACCAGCTGTATTCCTGGCCATGCCAGGGAAGGGGGAGAGAGCATGGATGAAGCAGGTCCCTACTTATATCTTTAGACTCTGATATGTTATGGATGTAATTTGGGCTTATGTCCAAGTGTGTTAAACAGAAGCTGAATTCCATTTGGTAGGAATCGAAAAAGATATCCTGAATTTTTAAGTCTGGGATCTGGCAAACCTGTGCAAGTGCTAAGTGATTTGTCTCTGCCTATAAAAGATAAGGATCTGTAGAAAGATAGAGGTGTTTGAAAGCACATTCCAAAGCAATGTGACTGAGGAGAAGTCACTTCTGAAAATAGGCAGAGATGACCACAGGAATCGTTTCCTTAGGAATCCTGTGATAAGGAGTGAAACTGTTTTCTGAGCAAATTTTGCATAGAAGGGAGTCATTCCTGGCATGGATGTATCACCCAGCTGCTCAAATGGGCAAATTGTTCTTAAACTTTGTGTTTCTCCTCCTAGTTTCAGTAGGATGAGAAGAGCTTGCTAAAGAGAATTTAAGTTAACTGGGTTTTGGCAGAGCTTGGTAGAGGAGAGAGCTGTTTCAAGACTGAATAATGGATATAATAAATTTTGTAACTGTTTGCTTCTTTCACAATCCTTTAGGATCTTCCACTAATGAGAAGCCTATTGATCCCTATTGGTGCTACTAGCCAGCTGTCCCAGCTGTATGATCCCACATTCCTTTAGGAAGTGGGTGACTCTAGTATCTGCAACCAAACAGGTTGCCAGTGGAGTTCTCAGGAAGCCTCAAGTGCATATCTGTGCAAACACCAGGACTGTGAGCAAGGAGGTAAATGCTAAAAGCTTATTTGGGTGAAGGTACTAACCAGTTGAAGACTTTGCAGCTGTATCTTGCAGGACAGAATTACAGCAACATTTTGGTGCCAGTCCACAGATGGTGGTGTTCCCAACTCACCTGGCTACCTAGTTCAGAAATGAAGGAGCTCCGAGTCCAGCTCCTTCACTAGGAGTCCAGCTCCTTCACTAGGTCTTCCTTACTCAGGTCTAACTATTGGGCCTCATAAGAATGACTAGGCTTTCTTTGCACTTTAATTTTCTCCTTTTTAATGCCAGTCAGAAATAAGAGAACAACATGATTAAGGAAGACTGCATGTGGCAGAGGCGATAGAAAAGTGAGCGTCTTGCATAATGGATCTTTCTCTGTCCTCCACTCTGGATTTCTGTTTCATTAATGCTTTTTACAGCATTAATCTGCACTCTGCTGCCCGATTTCACAGTGCTGTCTCCCTCCTGGAGTGCCTGTGGGTGTCATTCTGTGGGCAAACCAGGTGGGAGAGCTGTTCTTTCTCCTGTATCCCAGAATTACCAAGTTCGCAGTCTTGCGCATCCAGCTCATGCCGGGAGAGATGCTCCACAATGCCAGCCCCCAGAGAATCCCCCAGGACGTTTGTAGTCGTTCTAAGGCGGTCCCTGAAAAATCAGAGAGAAAAACAAAATAGAGTTCATAGTAGCAGCTAAGGGGATGAAGATTATTTCAAGAAACATCTTCAGTGAAAATTTTTCTAAGTCATTCTAATAATGGATACTTCAACACTGATAGGAAAATTACTCCTAGAGAGCTTTCTTTGATTGACATCCCTGAGCTCAAGCCTCACATTCATTCCCATTTTATTGCATTCCCAACTTATTACTGGACAGTTTTGGATTTGACACAAATTAAGATGAAGGTTGCTGTGTTTATACATGGACTCTGTCCTTTCCAAAAGCCTTGCTGCAGACTCAGATGGCCTCAACACATCTGTTTAACTTAAGTTGCGTTTTGCTTTACAAAAAGTGCTGAAATTCTGGTGCAATCCTATGACAGTACTGCTGTGGACACAGATTTACTCAGCATGGGGTAAGACAAGGCACCAGATTCTTTGTGCAAAACAGCACATCTAAAAGACCCTTTGCAATGAGATATTCTCCACAACCACAACAGTATGTCAGAGCTGCTGAAGCTGTCACCAGTTCAGCGTCCCATCAGATCCTTCAGTAGTAACAGCGGAGACTGATTGAAATAATCTACTCTGAGTAAGCACAAGAAGTAACCTGGCTTATTAGGAGGCAGGGCTCTTCCCAGCCAAGTCTGTTCTTATGCACAATCCACAGGAGAAGTGAAGGTGTTCCGCAAAACTCTTTCCAACTGGTCAGCCATGGCTGGGAGCAGAGTTTGCCTGCTTTGGCTACAAACCAACAATACAAGGTACAGAAGAAAAAGGAGAACACTGACACTATCCATCTGTCAGGATTTTGGTATTTGAGAAGACAGAGAGGTGGGACTGTGCACAAATGCATTCTTCAATATGGTTCCTAAGAGCACTCCTACAAAATCACTTGTCCCAAGTGATTTTATTTAAAAGGGAAAGAAAACAAACGAAGCAGTGTGGCTGACCAGCTTCACCCATGTAAACACTCTTCAACTTTGTACAGCCCAGTCTCATCCCTCTCTCAATGTTTGGTAACCCAGAACTATCATTCTGTAGTGTGGATTTGCTTATTATTGGCACAGCTTTTCCCTATGACTCTGCAAATAATTTCTGGATGCATTTTAAATAAAACAAATGGAGGACATTCTATTTGGTCACCAGGCTGATCAGCAAGTGACCTCTGATGCCTTGAGTCACTGAAGCATATGGCAAAGACTCCAGCATGGGCAGAGAGGGCTACTGTGCAAAGGTCTCAGGGACACAGGTGTGTTTTAACCTTAATGGTTCAAGTTAGTGAGCGTGTTTTTAGCAGAGATATCGGGAATACAGATGATGTCTGTAAGCACTGGCAGGAATGCACAGATGTGCATGCCTGCTGGGCAAGGAACTTACAGAAACCAGTCCACAGCGATGATCAGTGTAATGTCTTCAGTAGGCAGCCCCACTGATGTCAGCACTATAACCATTGTCACCAGTCCTGCCTGGGGAATACCTGCGGCTCCGATGCTGGCTGCTGTGGCAGTGATGCTGGAGAGAATGGGAAAGCAGAGCTATCAGCAAAGGGAAGAAAAGAGCTGGTCGCCTTTGCAGAAATGTCAGGAATTAGCTCAAACTCATCATTGTCTTGGCAGCCTTTCTGCTCTGGTCACCAACAAGGATAGTGACACATGGGACATCAACATAATGCCAGGCTGCCCCTGCCAGACACCCCCTCATAAAAGACTGCACACCACAGCTTTTCCTAAAGCTTGGACATGTGAGAAGGGCTCAAGTAGAGCCTCAAAGACATGGTGTCCACATGTGCTTTGACACCTGGATCTGTAGTACAACCCTTCTTTCCCATATTTTTTTTTTCTTGTTGTCTCTTCTGAGCAAAAGAGGAATGTGATCACACCTCAGATAAGCCAACAAAACTGAAACCCTTTGTGTAGTCCCAAAACTCTTTCAAAAGTCACCTTATTGTGATGATTTGCCCAAAGTCAAGTTCATAGTTGTTGACTTGTGCAATGAAGATGGCTGCAAGGGCCTCGTACAGAGCAGTGCCGTCCATGTTAATTGTGGCTCCCACAGGCAGCACAAACCTTGTGATGCGCCTGTCCACACCATTGTTTTCTTCCAGGCACCTGAAGGTTATGGGCAGAGTCGCTGAGCTGAAAGGAATTTACAAAACCACATGAATTGCATGTATGCCAACTTTGGAAGAAGGATTGAGCCTCTGCCTGGTTTATGACTTTACCTGCCTGCTTTTTCACCCTGCCATGTGAGCCAGAGGCCTGAAGCTGCTAGAAGAAAGAACAGTCTAAGCAAGGCTTCCTCAGATATGATGCATGCTGCAGTTACACATTTTGACATGGCTTTTCTCAGGGTGTTGGGACAGGGGCTGTATAACCCTGAGGCTGATGATGCTGGTATAACACCAAAAAAGGAGGATTCAGGGTACATAGGGCAGAGTGTCAAGACCAGAACTCCTTTTTCTGCTGTTAAAAATACTTGAGCCCTTTCTCATCCCTCTCAGTCCATAAGACAAGAATGATACATGTTTGAGAATATATCTTGCAGAGAAAGCAAAGAACTATTTCTGAAAGAGAACATGAACAGGAAAAATGCTGTGTGTTTTAGTATGGGAATGTATGTGAAAGAGCCTGCTATGTGCTTGCCAGGACACCAATATAACAAGAAACATAGCACTTAGTGAAATAAGTTACCTTATTGGCTGTGCAACGTGGCAGTGTGTCACTGAACATACTGGTGTTGATGCCTTTGCCCAGGTCTCTATGAAGTTAATGACAGCTGCATACAGTCTGTGTGCCTGAGAGAGACAGGCATGAAAATATCTGCAAGTACATGTGTGTGAGAGGTATGTGCATGTGGAATAGTACTGTGATTCAGCAGGATATTTGTCCTGAACTCAGTATTTCAGTAGTAAGCAAATTCCCCCTCCTGTTGGTCAGGAGGAATATGGCTATTCACTGATGGTCAGAGCTGGTCATGTGAGTAGGGCTCCTGAGCAGGGCAAGTGTGAACCTTCCCATTCCCTAATGAGTTTGGCTGGTTCACAGCAAAAAGCTGCAAGTGCTCGAAATTGTGAGACCACAGTGCTGCATTGAGAGCAATGGAATGCTGAGATGTAGTATCTACATAGTATCAGCTCAGACCCCACTCCTACATAGCCATCATACCTGGAGGAGGTGCCCAGGGCTGTGATGAGAGCCTGCAGGAGCCCTGCAATGAACACCCAGGGGTTTCGGTGAGTGACAATGAAGTAGAGCAGAGGCAGGATGCAAAGGGCATGAATGAGGAGTCCAACGATGACAGTGAGTGTGTACATCCCCAGCTGGCCTCCCATCACTGCTAGGTCATCCATCTCCAGGATTTTGCCCGCAATTAAAAACATGATCCCAACTGGAGCATACCTGTGACAGAAACACAAGGTCGATGGTCAGGACTGGCTCCCACACTTTCACACCAGATTTAACACGTGCTCTCTGGATAAATCCCCAATAAGCCAGCATACCATAAGTGCTCACTGAGCCTAATCACTGGATTACACTGCTGGTTTCTTTTCTAGAAACCTGGAGAGAGCTGGGACTTGTTTATCCCATGGTCAAAGATCAGCTCTTGGTGCATGCCTGGAGACCTCAGCACTCTGTTTTGCACACAGCATGGGCAGTGGTGGTTTCCTGCTCCTTTTGGGTTTTCTACATTTCTACAACACTTTTTTTAGAATTGATAAGGAAGATTATGTAGAGAAACCTTCAGAGTCCCTTCCTCTCCTAACACAGCTTGGGCTGACCGTATTTTTTTTCCTGAGAGGCACAGGAAAGTACAGGAGAAAAAGGGAATCAGGGAGTAAAAGCAAGAGTATCCTATAGGCTCTGGGATATGAGCCTTGCTATCCAGATGCTCACATTTAGGGAATATGAACATGTAGGGATTCCAGATCTGGTGTAACAAGGACTGGACACACCAACATCTGTAAAAACAGCCATGGCTCGCATACAACCCCATTTTGAGGTATCCTGCTATCTTTTCCATTCCTCGTGTCTTTTTCCCCCCGTCCATAACAATGCAGCTAACAAGCAGCACTGAGATTCCACAGAAAATACATAAGTCAGATATGGAGAGAATCATGGGCACTAATATAATAATCAGACCAAGGAAAATTCCAGCTTCATGGCCACATCTCTCTGGGCTGGGACTCTGCAGCTCAAGAGCTCACATGCATTTCATGCACAAGGCTCAGAGTTCCACATGCCAAACTGCAGCTTAGCCCGGGAGGTTTGGAAAAGTTTCAGGAAAGGATTTAATAAATATTTCATTTCCTCTGATGTTCCTGTTAGAACACATCCTTGGCTGCAGCCAGTGATCAGATCTCCCCAGGAAAAACAAGCTCCTGGGAGATGGTCTGCAGAGTGTGGCTACTGGAAGGCATGCACGGGCAGTGTCCCAAGTGTAATCAATGTTCTATACATAAACACCCTCCCTTCCTTCATCTAAAGGGAGGTTTAAGAAGGGGTGTCGAAGGTCTCTGGAGTAGTATGCATGTCTGTTTGTTCCACTGTGCTCATGCTCTCGCTTCTGTGCCCCCAGGCAAGTCTTACCTGTTCTTAGGAAAGCAAAGCCCCAAATTCTGGTTCAGACATGGAGTAAAGGGTCCTGGGGGCGTGGGGCTTCCCAACATCTCCTATGAGCTCTGGGATATTCTTCCCCTTTATGCCTTTTTCTGTAAGGCCTGTCCTGCTGTGCTCAGGACTTTGCTTTGAGATACAAGACTGTGACTTATAAGACTTAGAAGACTTCCAAGGAAAGGAAGCTGGAGTGATCTAAAATGGAGAAGGTGTCAGGCTGACAGTTTTCTTCCCTGTCAGACATTTGCACGTATTCTGCCAAAGCTGCATCTGTCCTATTTTTCAGTACCTGACAAAAGTTTGAGCCCCAACTGGGTAAAAAGCTTAAAATAACAATACTTGGTAAAATGCTGTCTTCTAGAGTCTTGTCTCAGCAATGCCTTGTTTGTCTGCACCATGTGTCATAGGCAGCCTTACACAGAAAGCAATGAGCAGCTGAGCTCCAGAGGAGTCATGATCTGGGAAGGATCTGAAAGGAAGTTGAGCTGATCCTCTCAACCCAGCTCAGCTCTCAGAGCTATTGCATTACTGCATACAGCTGCTACCCTGAAAGCAGGAAAGGGGCAAAGGGTTACTGTGATTCATAGCTAAGTCAAACTCCTGGAACATAGCTGGAAGGAAAGCTTCTGGTGAGAAAGCCCCACACCCTACTCCTCTTGGTAAGGCTAAGAGATCTTCCACTCCAGATCTCTGGTCTTCCAAGGATGTTTCCAGAGGCCTCGAGAAAAGCAAGTCCTGGTATACCTGATCTTTCTAAGGTAAAAACAAAAAAGAAAAACAAACCAGGAAATGAAATGTGAACAAATATCCCATCCAGACTTTTCCCTCCAGCCTGATGGAGCCAAAGTAGAGCTGTGCCCATCTGCTTTTCCTGTCTTGTGCATGAAATCCTTAAAGCTACCCCACTTCTCATCATGTCAATAGAAACTGCACCTGCAGACCTCCTGCTCCAACCGGCCGTGCTCCTCACCAGATGATAATGGCCACCAGCCTCATGATGGCTTCGTTGAGGCAGTTAAAGAACTCCCGCAGGGCCCGTCCCTTCTGCTTCATGCTGCCGATCATCAAACCGAAGCACATGGAGAACACCACCAGCCCCAGCGCGTTCACCCCATTGGCTGAGCCTGGGATGGGAATGACTTCTTCAAAGGTCAGCACCTCGGAGATGGTTCCCAGGGCATGAGTGACATTCTCCATGATGCTGGTGAAATTCTCAGGCACAGGGATCTGAGTGGTTACCACACCTGCTGTGGCATTGCTGCTGTGGAGGATGGTTCTGGTGAAGACCCTGGTGCTGTACTGAGTCTTGTACTGAAAAGACACAGATTATCAAATGCACTCACAGGCTCCAGTTCAGATGATCAGGACACATGCTGGGCTCTTATATGCTTTGCCTGTTCTCAAGGTCCCCAGTTTAGTGCTTTCACCAGAAAGGTCAGAAAGTTCATAGAGCAGAAGGTCAGAAGAGACCATTAGAGCATCTCATGTCGCTAGAACTGAGATATTCTGGCTTCTCTGATAACCTTTTGTGCTGCTTCTAAGGGCACTAGCACTGCAGAAGAGATAGATTCTTGGAGAATCTATTCCATATCACTGCCAGCCCAAGCTTGCAACCCGAGCTCATGCAAACCCTTCCTGCCTCTGTGGGATGGGAGGGAGGTTGAAGCCCCCATGTACAGACAGTTTGAAAAGCTTGCATGGGGGATGCTATAATACAGACTAACGTTTGCAGTGCCTCCTGCAGCAGTCAGACCTGGGGAATAAAGTGCTATTCCATCCCTCAGAGAAGTAGATAGGACCATGGTCCAGGGTACAAGGTGCAAAGATGAGATTTCATACCTGTTTGAAGCAGGCTTCTACCAGGTTGGGTGGGAACATATTCCTACAGTAGATAAAACAAAGAAAGAGTTACTGTCCTGTTGGCCTAGGAAGAAAACATGGGCTTCCTGGCCAACTTCTTTGTCCTGCAGCAATGTCTGAGGTCACAACTTTCACAATGTCCACTTAAGCCCTTTTGGTCTGACTGACAGAAGAAGGGAATATGCTGATCTTGCAACTTGTCAGACTTCCACTACTTGCTTTCAGACTCCAGAAGGTTATTCAGGTATGTGGAAAGAGATGACACACATACTGCCCTGGGATATAGGTACATTGTAAAACCATCATCAAAGCAAACCGAACTTTGAAACAATACCATACTACAATGATTAATACACTGCCTTGCTCTCAGCTTCACCTCTACAGCTGTCATGTGAGCTCTCTGTTATCCACCTCAAAAACCACTTGACATGGTACAGCTTTGCAATTCACTGAGTAAGGTCACAGCAAGGGAAGAAAAGGCAATGTCTTGGGAACCACTTCCTTGATTTCCTTTGTCATTAAAGATGGATATTTGGAGTAGCCTTTGCCGGGTGAATTTCTGAAACCTAGGTAGCCCACTGATGGTTTTCATTTCTTGTTTTGTGGAGCACACCATGACCTCTTACATTAATACCTCTGGAGAAGGGCTGGATTCCAGGCCATGTACTCAGTCTCAGAGTGGCAAAGCCAGTTAGCTAGACTAAACTAGAAATACTAGGCTTGCCAAGACTCAGCCTTTAACCTCTTTCCCTAAGACTGTATGCTTAAAGCTGTGATACTTCAAAAGGATGCTCCATGGAGGAATGTAATCTCACTGATATAGTCTCAACATGAGACCATCTTGTTTACCTACCTCACCAAGTCCATGAAGGCATCTGTAGTCTGCACCTGCTCAATTCTGCCTTCTCTGTGAAGTTTGTCCTTAGATCCTTTTCCTGGGTGTATGATGATCACCATGAAGATGCCAATGAAGACAGCTATGATTGTGGTCACCATGTAGTAGATGATAGCCCGCATCCCCATCTTCCCTGAGACTCTGCTGTCCAGTGAGGCCATTCCTGGGATGTCACACAGAAAGACTATGTGAGGAAGCCTATCATCTTAGAGAGAAAAGGAAAGCTTGAGGAAGATTCAAAGGGTGCAAGGCTTGTGCATGATTTGGACAGGGAGCCAAGGTCTCTAGGAAGCACAGCCTACAAGGAACAGAATTTGGAGTTCCAGGGTAACGTTGATATGGAAGAATGTGGCTTGTGATCATGAAGAAGCATAGCACTGGTGGATCTTAGTCTGCATTTGAGAATGTAGCAATTTTCTTTTAAAGCTCTCAGAAGGGAAATTACCCCCTCCTAGTACATTGGGCCTTTCAATCCCTAATGGTGGGAGATTTCAGCAGGTGGAACACCTTGCAATCCCTACTGCTGTCGGAAAACTTGTCTGTCATGTCTTACTTGAGGATCTGGGTGAAACAAGCCCTCCAGCCAGTGATCAAATTCAATCCTTTTGGACTAACAAAAATTAACCTTCTCTAGGTTGGAGAAAACCTGAAATTTACTTGGGCAACAAACTTGGAGCCATTTGAGGTTATTAAATCCTTGTTAGTGCTGGGCATTGGAATCACTGCATTGTGTTCTCCCCAGTCTTCTGAGAAAGCACAAGTCCTTCTGCTTCTCTGCACTACTACTGAGCCGGCAGGGGTCTCAGTGTGGATCATGTTCCCTATGGCTGTGGATTCAGGCTCGTCATTACTAGCCAAGCTAATCCAAGCACCTCCAGCTGGGTCATGAAGAGGTACCCCAACAACAGCTTTGCTGACCACTGTCTTGGCTGAAAGCAGCAGAAAATACTTCTCACCTGTAATCAAGCTAGAGACAATGAGAGGAAGAACCAGCATCTGGAGCATACGCATCAGCAGCTCGCCAGGGAAGGAGAAATACTTGATCTGGCGATAGGTCAGCTGGTAGGGCCGGAGGGAGAAGGCCAGGATAATTCCTGTGGATCAGCAAGGGATCAGAATGGAAGTAGCACAGTGTGACCCAGTGGTCTGTCCCTCAGTCCTACAATGTGTTTTTTCTCTTCTCATTTACTCTCAGTTGTTCTTCTTTACAAAGGAACAAATGGTCATTTTCTAAAAGGCTATCATCCAGTTTTTATTATATGCTCTCTCTCTCTCTGACGTATTTATATGCAGAGGAGTCTTGTGCGAAACCACAGGTCTCCTTGTTCCCTATTGGTCTTCCTCTATTGCTCTTCTGGAGTCTGTTCCCAGGAAGCTCATTAATACAAAATGCTGTGATGAGAGATATGATCTCACAGACTAAAATAAGTGTGACTACATAGTTCAGATTCTTTGTCTACCCACCTCTTAAAGCTGAGTTCAGCCAGTTAGAGTCATGTAGCCTGGATCAAAAGGTATGGACAACCTGCTATCTGCTAAGCAGATTTGGTTTGCATTGTATCACAGCCATTTGCAGCATTTCTGGTCCTGTCAGGCTACAGTTTTGGGACAAATCTGAAAAGCCCTTGTGCCTACAGCTGCACTCACAAGATACCTCTCAATAAACCTGGATGATTTGTACAAGGATTGGTTGAGTTGGACCATCAAACTCTTTCTATCATAGAGTGTTTCTATACTGCGCTAGAAAGGATCAACAAGGACTCCCTCCCACATACACACTCTGTTGGGTCCCTTGCTCTTGCACAAAAGTACTCGTTATGTGGGCAGCACTTTGAGCTGCCAGCTCATCAGCTTCAACTCCTCAGTCAAATCACTGTGATAAAATAAAAATCTTCGTAAAATAAACAAGCATTTCCCCATATTTATAAATGGTGCCTGGTGTTGCCACCAGCTCCATACCTAGTAGGACTGCAGCAATGGTGAAGAGGACAAAGGCATTTCTCCTGAAGAAGCTTTTAGCACTCTCAGCAGTGATGCTGTGCATCCGCTTCTTGGCCCGCGCCGCCCGCTTGTGCACAGCCTGCTGGAACCGCTGCACCCGGCTGTCGGCGTGGAGCCGCTTGGCTGCATCCTCGTTGAGGAACAGGCTGTTGACGTGGCTCTGCTCGCTCATGGTCAGCACAGCTCTGCCTAGGCTGGGCAGGGAAAAGTACAGGCAGGAAAGCATAAGCTGTAGCACACCTTGCCTTTGTCTTTAGATCATTTCCCTGGGGCCTGCTTGCAAAGGTTTATTTAAAGCTGATTAATGACCTCCTCTGACCATCTGCAAGGAGCAGCCCTTGGTGAAGGGTATGTAAAGGGCTGCCAGGGTCTTGTCACTACTGCTTTGGTGCCTCTAGAGAAGCTCTGGCCCCTATAGCACCCAAGCTGGACTGAGGAGTGTTTTATGTTGGCCCGGGCAGCCAGAATGGGCTCCGCAGCCAGCCAGGCTTGTTCAAAGTTTGACCACTTTGGAATGGAATTAATTTTTATCACCTGGCAACAAACTCTCCTCCCATACACCACTCTTCCAAAGAAAACCAAGCAGCAAACAACATTTCTGATGGACCTCCAAGGTGGACAAGTCCCTGCCACAACAACCTTCCCCATGACAGCAATTGGTGCTGGCTGTTTCTGTAGAAAGGAACATTATCCCCTTGCTTTACATGAAGTCTGAGGATAAGACTTTATTTACTGACTTTCCTTTGAAACACAACAGGACTTTAAAGTAGTATCTCTTGTCAAACTCCACTAATGGGATTAACCTGATGTTCTGTCTTGATAAATACTAAGACTGAAATCAAACCTACTCCAAAGAGATAAATAAAGAATTAATTCTGCTCCATTGCCAATTGGCTGAAAGGCCTGGACAGTCTACTGTACTTTATCGGTTTAGTTTTTGCTGTTATTTCTATATTCCTCAGAACAGAAGAATAAGGAGGCTGCACAGGCAAATCAGTCCCCTCTAGGGTGCTAGAAGGCACCAGCCACCCAAACAGTTCACATAATGAGGAAGATTATTGCTGAACTATGCAGGTGCCATTTTCCTTCTGTCACTGTGCCTTGACAGATGGAAGGTCTGAAAATTATTCTTATTCCCAGGAATTTGCAAAGGTAATACAAACCTAAATGAAACCAAAGAAGAACAAAGTCACCTTATCACATCAGCAAGTGCTGGAAAGCCTTTGGTGTTGCAAGTCAAATAAGAGCTAGTCCATTTGTAATCCTAAATTTAAATCAAAGAAACCCTTAAAATTGAGACTATGTTCTCCATAAATTACACACCTAGTATCTTCCACTTGGACCCAAATAAATGCCTATAGTGAACTGAAGACATTGCCTTAAAGAGGAGCGTCTTTGTGGTACAAGATTGCAAGGTCGTGCACAGAAGGTGGAGATCAACCTCCATTCTGAGACAAGGTTTGTTTGCATAGATGCTAATGCCTTCATGAGGTTCAGAACAGCAGACACATCTGAGGTGGCCCAGCCAGGTCACTCTAAGCGCCCCAAGGCTAAGCTGCACAAAGGCCACTGGCAAAGAGGATGTGTATTTGCTGCAGGAACCTAGCAGTGCTGCTGTGGTCACCCCAGCTTTTAGGTCAGCAAACAGCATTCCATGGATTTTGATCCACTCATTCCAGCTTGACCAAGCATTCCATTCCTTACTATTACCATTACCTTACCATTACCCCACTTTTATCTGTTGGAGACAATATACACCAGACTGTGTGAAAAGTTTGCCTATCTTCCTTCCTTTCACTGCCAGTCCTGTTTTTCACAGCTACACCTGAGAAAAAGAAATGGCAAGATTCATTCAGTTCATTGAGATTGTGCCACCTGAACCTGACAGTAGGTTTAGAAACTATGAATTCGATCCCCTTGTGTCCCACAATAAACTCGTATCATTTATAGCCTTCCAGATATAGAGTTCAACAAATGACCCAGGACAGGTGACACTGGAACACACCTAGGTGGGTTTAAATGTCTCCAGAGGGAGACTCCATGACCTGCTTGGGCAGCTGTTCCAGTCGTCTCCCACTTTCAATGTCAAGAAGCGCTACCTCATGCTGACGTGGAACTTTTTGTGGTTTCGTTTGAGGCCATTACTCCTTGTCCTCTTGCTTGGGCATTAGGACTTCCTAACATCCAGTCTGATCATTCCCTGGCACGACTTTGGACCATTCCCAGTTGTGCTGCCCCAGGATCTCAGAGAGAACAGTCCAGCACCTCCCTCTCCACATTCCCTCCTGAGGAAGCTGCAGAAAGCAATGCATCCCAGCCTCTGTTTCTCTGAAGGAGACAAGCTCACTCAACTGCTCCTCGTAGTCCAGCTCTTCACCAGAAAGTTCACTCTACATTCCCTTCCCCTGGACATGTTTGAGGACCTTCACAGGTCCCTCTCTGCTCTTCAGCTGCTCCTCTCCCAGTTTAGATTTGTACTCAGTGTTACTCCCTCCCAGCTGCAAAAAATAGCACTTGGACTACTTCCATTTCATGCCTGAGATAGCCCAACGGTCTAATTCATCAAAATTCTCCTTTGAGGCCTCTTGTTCCTCAAGAAAGTCAATGGCACCTCCCTGTTGGATTTTGTCAGCAAGCTTACTAATGGGACATTCAATTCCTGCATCTGGATCATGGATAAAAATACTGAACAATACTGGTCCCAGTGTTATACCCCAAGGACACCACCAGTGACCACTCACCAGCTAGACACAGCCCCATTCATTACAACCATTCAAGCCCTGCTGTCCAGCCAGCTCTTTACACTGCACACCATCAACTTGCCCCTCCCACAGCTGGACAACTGTCCAGAAGAATGCTGTGAGGGACAGTATCAAAAGCTGCACTAAAGCCAGGAAAACTGCATGCACCACTTTCCCTTTATCAACTTGGGGTGTGACCTCATCCTAGAAGGAAATCAAACTGGTCAGAGAGGACTTTTTCTCTGTAAATCCATGTTGAAGGTTGCATTATTCTTCAAATACTTTTCAGTAGTATTCAGTAGGACCTTCTCCATAATCTTTCTAGCAACTGAGGTTAGACTCATCGGTCTTTTTGTAGTTCTTTGTGTCTTCCCTTACACCTTTCTGGTAGACTAGAATAACACTGGCTTGCTTCTCACTCAGCAGGGATGCCATGTGGCTTCTACAGTAGAGCAACTGAGGCAATCACTTCCAAAAGAAACTTCAGAGAAACTTTTGAGGCCCAGACACTCTTCTTCTTACTACCAAACCACTCACTCTTCATCAAATGACCCAGCACACATTGGTAATGTGAAGTACTACCTTACTTTGACGTGGAAAGCTCCAAACAGTTTAGTGAAGTCAAAAGACACATTGATTACTCTAAAATCACCCACTTCAGACTTTCTACACACAAACCAAACTTTTCCTTTGCTGTGGTGACCTGAGAGAAGACCCATTTGAGTAGGGAAAAGTGGGCTCCTCCTCCTGCAAACCTTGCCTTTCTTAGAGTTGGACCATACCACAGCAATGGCACAATTTCCTGTACAGGGAAGATGGGAGCAGAACCCACAGATATAAAAGGACTCACACAATTTTTTCTCCAGATGTCTCCCCATCTGGAAAATGTATTTTTGTCCAAACAAAATGAAATTTCTATTTTGATAGGAGAAAGTACAGGATTAATCATTAGATCCCATGTTGCACCATGTGTTCAGCAGCCTTTTAGAGCAAAAGTTATTGCACCAAAGGAACTCATTAGCAGATCTTGCTCCTTTGATGTCCCCACCCTCTTGCTGTCTTGCTCCCTTTCTCTATTTGCATATTTTGCAACAGAGCAGCCCCCTCCACAGCACATTCTCTCTGTGATGCTGGTCTGGAATTTTGTAAATGTTCTATTGCATGAGCAGGAAGTTCTCAGACTCTTGCAGTAAAGTCACAAAAATTCTCTTGTCCATGGCTTGGATTTTCCTTCTTGTGAGGAAGAAGGTGGCTTTGCTCTCTCGGTGAAGGTTGTTTTATCAGTGACTGCGTCACCAGTCTCCACTCTGCCAGAAACACCAAGATATTTGACAGAGTATTTTTGGAGGTAACGACAAGGTTTGAGCAGGGAGCACAAGATATTTTGCAAGAAGAATCAGTGTTGCAAAACTAGTACCTAGTTCCTGGCAGTGAGGTTTCACATAAACAGAGGAATTTTGGCTATTTTAGAGGTATCAGTCTGATGTTGGTGAAAGTAAAAAATGGGAAGGAAGGCTTCTTCACTACATTTTGTCCTGCTCTTTGCAGATTTTTCTGTGTTTATCTCCCCATCTACCCAAAGAGATTTCCAACATGGGGGGAGGAGTGCAATAGAGCTTAAGCACTTATAAAAAGCTAGAAAACAGGGAAGCTCTGAATCAACTGAGATGCATCTGTTCCGCGTTGTACTGAACACTGAAGGACATCTGTCCTCTTTATCTTTTGTCTCTGTTAAAGCAGCCAACATCAGAAAAGCCGACATCAAAAAAGCATTCAGTGTGCAGCATCTCCCTGTGAGCATGTTTTAAAGATAGAAGGTATTAAAATTCTGGTTGAAGGGAGATTGGAGATAGCCATGGCACACTCACAGTGCTGGAGAGCCAAATGTGGAAGCATCAGGGCAGATTTGCATCTCCTTCTCACAAATTGTATAATTTTGGTCCCACAAAGTTCCACATTCAAAATCTGAGAGTAAAATATTGTACACAGCAGAGAAACTTCTTGAAATAGTATCTTGAATGTAATCTTTGACAACAGGCTCTGTAAAGACACACAGCCTCCCACATTTTGACCATGCCCCTCTCCCAGAGAAAAGGCCAGCTTGTTTAAAAGAAGAACTAGGGAAGCAGGAGAAGTAAAAAGCAATGTTCAAATGCATCTAGTTGAAGGAAAATCCACATCAGTAAGGATATGGCTTCAGTGCCAGATCAGTCAGGGTTTTTAAAAACTTTTGTAAAGGCTCATGCATGAAAGGTTTTTAAAGCAATGGATATGAAAGGGAATGAAAGGAGAGATCCCCTTTTCATCATCACTTTTGGTGACAGGATGCCAACAGAGATTTCAGTTCAGATTTCCAAAAAGAAAGTGTGCAGAGGGCTGAGCTGTCCATCTGATCACAAGTGATGGGAAGAATGATCTGTTCTATGCATAAATGAAAAG